TAAACGGGTCTTATGAAATTCGGATACTTAATACAGTTAACCAGTGAGAATAAATAGGATTATCTAGCCCAATGGGCCTGAAGAAAAAGGCATATTCATTAATAAATTTCATGTTAATACTAAGATATTGTATGACTAATCATATTTTCCTGTTTCTATAGTCTTTTGATTATCACTGTATATAAATAATAGTGTATTAATAATAACATTAATGAGTATATACATCATTATAAGTATATATTATAATAAGCCATATGTTAAGTATGTAAAGAAAAATATATAGAAAAAGTGAAAATCTTGCATTTTCAAAGTGAATGTAACGTATTTTAAATTCATAGGCTTTCACACTACCGAGCATTATATGAAATCCATTAATCTCAGAAGTAATTCGATCATTCTTCCTAATTCAGCATTAGTTGAAGTTTTCGATAACTAGATAATGGGTTATATAGGTTAAGTTTAAAGTGACTCGTTTAAAACATTAAATCTGTCTAATATGAAATATGCAATTTAATCATTGGAACGCTTGAATAGACACCTAGACATTATGAAGGCTACGTCTTCTAATGGCTTCGTTATATTTGCCTGGATATAGGATTTACCTGGTATGCTATTGTTGAGTTCATTCAGATAACTACACATCATAACCGAAAAAAGATAGGAGAACGATTAGCCTTTTAAAAGTAACAGCATGGACGGTCTTAGAGCCTTAAATAAATTTTGATTTCTTACAGTCAGGGAGAGCTAGGGCAGTAAACAGAAAGTGTAAACTGAATATCAAGATATTAACTCACTAATTAATTGAAAGTTATCATTTTTCTGTGTCTATTCGTCTTAGGGTCCGAATTTGAAGATGAAAGCATGCAACTTGTGCTTCCATAATTTGTTGGGTCATATTACAGCAAAATTTAGAAGTGATTATATCCTGAAGATAACACGAGAGCTATTGACTGCCAACATGCGATCGCCATATGTTTACAATTGTATTATGCTCTATGAAAAAAAATGATTAATTTGGTGTGGAGGTCCCCTTAAGTCCTTAAGGACGCTGATCGGACTCGTACGATGACACACAATCTTAGCAGAATCTAAACAGAATCCACTGAATCACCCACCAAGTCATTTTCACATATGATCACAAAATTAAGTACAATATTCATAGTATTTCTCATTTTTGTCTAAGAGTAATGAATAAGATACTGACCGAGTAATTACAAGAGTCTAGTGTTGTCTTCCTATGTGAATCTTCTTGAACATTCGTTACGCGTTCTCTTCTGATATACACATCCTCTGTTTACAAATTGTGTAATAAGTAATGAAACAACATTACTAACATCTATGAGTAACGGATGTGATTGTGTTGCTCTCGATTTGTGACTGTTTTATGGTATTCACGATTCGTAAACAGGTAATACAATTTCATGTGCAAAAATATCATATAAAAAGAGATGCATTTTGCCTTCTTAATACAATATGTGATAAGGTAAGTACGCTTTTGTAGGCTATTACCAAAACTGGGTCACATTAAAGTATTTGTTTCATATTGGGAATGAAAGTCGTTGAAAATGGATGTTATAGTGCTTACTGTCGTCCGTTGTTTCTGTTCGTTGTTTTTGCTCTATTGGTTGTTATTATATATATTAGAATAAGTATTTATCAAACAAATAAATTTATGGGTGACAGTTAGTACAAGTTAAGAGACAATTTGTATTTTTAGCGGTTTAATAAAGTAGTAAAAATGTAACTTTAATGGTAAATTTTAGTGATTAAAGCTAACATAGTTAAAATAGAAATTCCACTTCTTTATGAAGAAGATTGTATCATCTGTACAGCACACACATATATATTTCATATCATTGACACAAATGCGCGACAATTATATATCCAAGACATCAACATTAGTTATTGGGAAATACTGACAGTGCTAGGACATTCAAAATCACAATTCGCAAGCTCGGGCTAAGGAAACCTCGGTCACGATTGAGAGTAGAATGAGCTAATCAAACGTTCTCATAAGTAAAAGTCGTTCACGTATGTAAGTTGAACAGCACATAATAGTATTGAGTATTATGTTAGATACAAATAAAATTAGAAAAAAATATTCATGTCATTTGAGAAAGTATAATAGAGATAGAGAAAGAGCAAAGGTTCATAACAATTTTAACAAATAACACGGAGAAATAAACACACAATGGCCAGGATGGTTTTGTTGGATGTCAAATATTTATGAAACCAAGTGTTTTCACGTAAATTTTGACAAAAAAGTATCTTGTTGGTGTTCGCCAGCTTATTTTATTATGGTGGTTTACCATAACTAATTGCTTTAATTGGAGTGTGAACAGACAGGCGCATTGTTCTTTTCTTTGAAATCGTAATTTTAACTGAAATTCTCGAATGTTTTATTGCTATTTTGAAACATGCAAAATATAAAAACACAAATTGAATCTGATTATCATAATACATATACGGATTTACATAAATGAAACAATTGTGGTATAAATTTGACATGTCATGAATCAATGTTCACCTTTTGAATGAAAGACAGTATCCTTGATCGCATAATTTCAAGGTAATTAACTTATTTCATCAATTTTGTCTCCCACAACAGACGACAATTCATAAAACTAAGTGCAACAAATGTATGAATGAACGTAGAAAATGTATAAGAAAAAACAACCAAATGCTTTATGACATTTTAATACGTTTTATTCACCATTATCTAAAATTGTTTTACCGCGTCTGCTGTCTTTGAAACAGACTTCATGGTTTTGTAATAGTTTTCGTTTTTTATTATTCAAGTTGTTGTTGGTTCACAGTCTAAAACTCGTGCATGGTTTAAATGTAATACGCTCCTTGTTATGTTTTCTGTATTAGATATTGACCTTAGATAGCAGAACAAAGATAATTCACACATAACAAAACTGACAAACCACATCTACACTCATTTTAATTCATTGGTCATCCATATATTTCTGGCGCACAATACACCATTATTTAATTCATGGAACTATTGTATGTTTAATCTCATTATTACAAAGTCATTTATATGATTTGATTTGTTATGATTTAATTTGATTCGAAATGATTTGTTTTGATAATATTGATATGATGTAATGTAATGTAACTCAATACAATACAATACAATATACAATACAAAATATAATACAATACAATACACAATATACAATACAAAATACAATATAATAACAATGCAATGCAATGCAATACAATTTACACAGGAGAAAAGAAGTACAGCTTTAACTTATACCTGAATTGGCATAATGTCCCTGTAACTTATCAAACCAATTTTCCTCACATAAACAATAATTTTAAGTCTCAGCCAATAATAAATATTAGTCGTATATTCTTATTTATTCTATAGATTTATCAACTACAAATATAATATTATGTTAGCATTTTCGTTCCAGATTTATCTAAACAACTTTGATCATTTCAGAAAGTTGTTTTGTCTGGCAACCAATGTAAAACATGTCGTTCTACTTTATTTCATCGCCTACACCGAATAAAATTACAGTTCTTTAATTGTATATGTACTCCCGATGGCAACAGAATTTGGCTCATTTACAATAATATGTAACAAGTTTCTATCAATGGATTCCGAAGGTTTAACACGTGAAACACATGGATCGCTTTACAACCTTACAATACATATCATTAATTACATTTTAATTTGATGAAAACATTATTTCAATTATATGTCGGGTAATTGCTGACAGAAAGCATTCATAAACATTTAATGTCTTTTACTTGTATCCAAAATGGACGTTTCAATGTTCTAAATTTTACTATATCAATATGCATGTATCAATAAAATGATGCTAAAATTTACAGATTTTTTTGTAAAGTATGTCTTTATTTCATTCAACCACAAAAACCCACGTCAGTCTTTTTTGGAAGATAGTAAATAGTGTGTAAATTAAACTGCGTTTGATTAATGCGTTTTTTAAATGCAGGTATTTTGTATCTTTTTCAAAATACTAAATCAAAGTAAACCTTTTATTGTGATAAAATATGAGCAACGAAAATGTAAAATAATTGGTATGATAAACATCTGAAGGAGAAACCAATTTTATAATAAATTTGTGTGCATCCAATCCCTCATGGTGTTATAAAAGTTAAAATGGTCGTAGCCAAAGGGAGGTAACTTTCTTTAAAATGTATACACTTAATTGTATAGCACATCGTTGTAACATGCAATTAAAGAAAGGGCGGTTCATTCGCAGCATTGTCTAGTTTGCCATATAAATTCGTATTTTGAATGATAAATCTTTAAATTACTTTAATGTTAAATTTAACCTGCATACCCGTTCACAAAAGTCGTTCAATAAGTCAATTTTAAAGTTTTATTCTTTGTGTTATGACTTTATCGTAATGAGAAATTAATTCAAATATGGTTACATTATAAACCTTACTAAACAATTACATGACTTTGAGAATTGCTTCTTCACAAAATACTATTTAATAGTGATTTTCAAAATAAAAAGAAGTAAAGTCAAATACTAAATGGAAAAACGGGTTCCAAGCGTCGTTCGTTTTTGCTTTTTTCGTTTACATCAATTTTACGAAACATTGCACCAACATTGAATGCACAACAGGCATTCTACAGGTCACAATGAAGGATCATAAATACATGATTGATGTAAATACAATAAAGTATGCTCAAAATATGTTTTACACACTATAAACTAAATTAATGATGACATAAAAATACAATAAATAATCTCCAAATGTGTGATCTCATATTTTTTAACTATAACAAGAATATTTATATTTTATACAAGTTATTTGCAGATTTTATCAATGTCTCTCCATGCATACATTTTGTGGGGGCGTGTGTACTTGGAACTTTGCTTTACCTTGTTAAAAATTTACCTCCATATTTTTCATTAAATACATGTACTCAAAACTGAAATGTGCAGATTAACATCAGTCAAAAATGCCCAGCACTTGTTATAACATGTATTAATTGTTATTTGTTATCAGTGGCACAATTGAGCAATCCAACCACATATATGTGCAGTCTCGTCACACATATGAGTATTCTCACCACACATATATGCAGTCTCACCACACATATATGCAGTCTCACCACACATATGAGCAGTCTCACCACACATATTAGCAGTCGAACCACACATATGAGCAGTCTCACCACACATATGAGCAGTCTCACCACACATATGAGCAGTCGTACCACACATATGACCAGTCTCACCACACATATAAGCAGTCTCACCACACTTGTGAGCAGTCCCACCACACACATATGCAATCTCACCACACATATGTGCATTCTCACAACACATATGACTAGTCCCACCACACGTATAAGTAATCTCATCACACATATGTGCAGTATCACCACACAAATAAATAACCTCACCACACATATGAGCAATCTCATCACACATATGTGCAGTATCATCACACAAATAATAACATCACCACAAGTATGAGCAATCTCATCACACATATGTGCAGTATCATCACACAAATAATAACATCACAACACGTATGAGCAATCTCATCACATATATGTGCAGTATCACCACACAAATAAATAATCTCACCACTCATATGAGCAGTCTTATCTCACATATTTGCAGTCTGTCGGAACTCTTTACTGTTAGCGGCCAATTTAAAAAAAAGTATTAATCGTAATTTTCCTAAATATCGGCTTTTGACTGTTTTAAAATGAAGGTTTGACCGGTCTGGTCAGCTGCCATGTCGTTGACTTCAAACCACTTGCCCCTCACCGCTGTGGGTTCGAATCCCGAAAGGGACTTTGTACTCTTTCATGCGAGGAAGCTATCCAGCTAGCTTACGGAACGTCGGTGGTTCTACTCAGGTACCCGTTCGTGCCTGAAATAATGCACGGAAAGGCACCTGAGGTCTTCCTCCACCAGTAAAGCTGGAACGTCGCCAAATGACCTATACTGTGTCAGTGTGACATAAAACCCAAACAAACAAACATATCAAACATAATTTGGCATTATTTAAGTATAATATTTGTGAACACTTCATAGTTATTTATATCAGATCGGTATTGTTAAATGAATAAAAAATGTTATTGAAAGTGAGTGTTATTAATGTTATTTTTTATAATCATTTTTAGATATATGTCTGCTTCTACTCAATTTACTATAATTGTAATATATTTGATACAAACATGACGTTTTGAATCAATGAAAAAATCATACATCTCATACGTGTTGTTCCGAATGAATAATATACAATGTATAAAGAATCATTTTAACGCTTAACCACTTACAATATTTTGTCAATTTCTTGTTGTCTAATTAAGCACATATAACATTTAACTTCACATATTTATCACCAGGAAGTAGTGCTGTTGTGGTCGTCAGTATATTAAACATTTGTTGTTGTTCATTTTACCTGACAGCTCATTAACATAATATCAAACAGTTGTGGCCAAACACCTTTACCATAGACCACAGATTGTCATTTGAGCCGTGTCACGACAAAACCAACATAATGGGTTTGCGACCAGCATGGATCCAGACCAGCATCCGCGCAGTCTGATCAGGATACATGCTGTTCGCCATCAGTTTCTCTACTTGTACTAGAGTTGGTTAGCGAACAGCATGGATCCTGATCAGACTGTGCGGATGCGCAGGCTGGTCTGGATCCATGCCGGTCGCAAACCCATTATGTTGGTTTTGTCGTGACATGGCTCATGATAATCACTTTATTCCTGCGATATATCATCCAAACGATCTTGCACCTTGCGATTATTAGATAATACTTATAAAATCAAACAACAATGGGAGAACGGAGCTATTTTTTCAGTTTAGAAATTGACCATAAAACCAAAGCCCATTGAAGACACGTGTAGACATAATTCTATATAAGATAAAGCAAAGTGTGTGCCAGAAGTTGTGTTATGTAATAAAGATGATATATTATAAAATTACATCATGGATTATCACATTATGATTCTGTTAGTTAGAATGTCTGCTAGCAGGGTAAAGCAGGGTAATGCAACTGCCTTGTTGTTGTTTTTTGTGGTGTGGTATTTTTTTCTTCTTCTTTTTTGCATACGAAAAAGCTGCAAAATTTTCATACTTTCTATCAATGAAAGATTGCATGTTCCAGTGATCACGGTTAAATGAATGCGTTCAATTTCACATCTCAAAAGCTGTAATTATTCTCATGATTTTCATACACTTTGTTTTTAATGTACCAAAAAATTATGTTCATTAAAACAACTTGTTAGTTATGTGTCATAACAACTAAATGATCGACTTCTAACACTTCAAAAGAATAATTAAACTTTGATTATAATAAACCCTTTCAAACCAAATTATTTTCACTTCTGTTTAGGACCAAACTTGTTACTACAGTATTTCAAAGGATTTTAGTTCAAATCAAACAATCTCTAACCGTGAACTGTTGATGCAAATGTTTAAGGTTTCACCTTGTTACAATAAATCGAGTGTAATTAATGCTCAAGATGAAACTTAATTGATTAGTTTTGAGAATCTTGCTTCAATATAACTTGAAATGTGCTGTTGCAAAATAAGTTAGCTGAAAAATAAATCCAATAAAGTAGTTCATTGAAACATTCATTATTCGGTGTGTATGACGTGTCACCTTTATTACATTTAATGTTTCAGTTTAATACCAATAATATCTGAATACATCACATTATAGTCAGTATTTTTTATACATATTTTTTTTCATTAAAACTTGAAGAATTTACTTTATGCTGATATTAGTATAAATCAGCTACATATAAAACTACTGTAAGTTATTATTTGTCCATTACTAACGAAAAGAATGTGATCGTTTCTCTCTTTTTGGGCCCATGAAAATTTGATACAACCGTTTGTGAAAATAAATGCTTGTCGTTTGGAGAGACCATTAATTCTGACACCCCTCAATATACCACAATATAACCTTATTAAAGCTATAACATTTACATTTCAGTAGTTTATAAACTTTTATACACTTGTTTGTTGACAAACTTATTTTCATATTTTTGAATCGCTTCAGTTACAGAGTTGATTTTATTCATTGTTTATATAATTCATATTCTTTTTCGAAATTTTCGGAACGTGTAAAGGCGCACAAAGTTTGTTGTGAGTACTTAGTTTTAATATTTTATTTAAAGACTAATATTATTATACTGTTTATGTTTTCGCTTTATTTGTGTACCTGTTTTAATTCCTTAACATCTATTTGAATGAGATTTATTTTCAGCAAGATTTTTTCCTTTCTTCATTTTCTTTCTTTTATATTCTTATTTGTGAGTTTGTTTGTTCATTGATAAATTGATTGATTGATTGATTGATTGATTGATTGATTGATTGATTGATTGATTGATTGATTGTCTTACGTTTATGTGTAGATCTGCCTTGCTACAAAAATAACCTCCGGCAATTACATCTCGGAATCTAGTCTTGAGCTCAGTTTTTTTTTTGCTATCGTGTAAGTCGTACGGGATTTTTTCTAACGCATCTTTCTGATACTAATTTGAAATGTTTGTAAGAATTGATTGATTTGTTTGGAGATTATGTAGAAATTTAATTATATTCTTAGTCTTTGTTCATTTAAAGAAAAGCGTGAAATTAGAGGATGAACCAATGATAAGTTATAACACTGACGTTGCCTTAAATGTGCAAAAAGATCTTTTTAAAATATGTTCTACATTGGTCTAGACACATAAGAAAACAACAACAAAAAACGAGGAAATGCATACGTATTTTATTTTGCAGCAAGAATATACTACAAAGAGGGAAACTATAAAGAATCTAATATACTCACAGTGTGGTATTAGAATAAACATAGTTGTTAATTGATCTATCATACAAATTAAAAATTCATTAATCAGATGAAGTGAGTGTTTCCCCTAACGTAAAAACATCATCAACATATAATGTGTGGCAGTGTCGACATTATATTGATATAGGATTTTTTTATGATTTATTAAAATATATGAACTGTCTTACATCAATATGGTAGTACAAAGGTATTAAATTAAATTGCATTTGCATAATTATAATTAATTAATGTAAAACTTAAGTTATTTAAGGACATGTAAGACTATAGGTAAATATTAGACAGCTGTAGACTTGGTGTAGGAAATTGATTATGTTTAACATCACATATATAATGGATGATTTATAGCCAGGATTAATCACTGTTTTATATGACAACTATGAGATAATTGTCTGTCAATATTCATGCCTAGGTGACAACTTACCATCTATTATGATATAATATATGTGCCAAGGATATCTTTAAATAATCAAACTTTTGTTTGTACGGATTCAGTTTTTTATACCACAACATTTTTTTTACAGTATATACAATAGGGTATAACAAGATTTTTTTTTTCAAGATTCAAAATATTTATTGGCAAAAACATTTTACAATGTCCATCGCCATGTTCGGCGGTTCAATAAACACATAATGAGAAAAGTATGTACATAACGAGAATGAGATAATTATAAATTAATTAGTAAATAGATTTAATAAACCAATCTTTTTAAATCTCTTACCAAACATACAAAGCTTTTATCCTTCCAATTTCTATACAAAGTACAAAAAAGAAACCCACTAGATAAGTGCAAAGAACATAAATATGAGACATATAAATACATAATATACAATCATTGTGAGAACTGGTGAAGGGTATATTGGAAAATGATATATAGTAATATTTCAATCGCTTTTGAACCTTATGTTCCTTACAAAGACATGCTATACGATAAATAGCATATCAGAAGGAGCTAAGTAGCAACGTAACACGTACAGGTACCTCTTTTCCGAAACAAAATAAAAAGAGTACCATTACATGATAATCAAGTACATGTATATATTTAGATAGCTACAAGAGTAATTGACGTCTGGTTATCACTTGTCAGACAATTTGCTAGAATGACCATTTTATCAGCTTCGTTACTGTTACCCAATTACTAACAGATCATTTTATATTTCATGATGTTTTAAGTATACCGTGTGCAAAGTCATTTTTATTTCTTACTATACTTATAGGGTTGGTTCGCATTTTATTGGTATTTGTTTTTGTTTTTTTTTAATGTTGTTTTTTTTGTTTGTTTTTTTGGTCTTTGATCTGTGTGTGCCAAACTGAGACGACAAAATTGAATTCAAAGATCCTGTATATTGTAATTAAGGATGTAACAACACTTAAGTGAAATTTTATATATGAATATAATTATTCTTCTTACTCAATTTTCCAAACATCCAATTATATGTTAAATATGTCCTGCAAATGTTTATTCGCATTATATGTAATCATTAAAATGTATGTATTCATTTCTTATTGAAAAATTACATAAAAAAAAGTTGAGTCACGGAACCTTTAACATGTAACTATAACGTAAAATCTGAAAATCTAATGCTGTAGTTTTTTTCCCTTCAAATT